GAGAGTCGTCTTTGGATTCCAGAGGAAAGTGTCACAAGTCGCAGTGACGGCACTGAATTTAGAAGAACCTTCCCAAAAATGCTGTCGAGGTGCAGAGGAGCCACACTGGGGGTGTTTTCCGGAGCGTGTTTGAGACTAGCTGGGATAACAAGACTTGGACCACATGGTTGCTGGTCCAAGACGAAAGCGCTGGAAGCGACGGCTCCTGTGGATCGCACGGACCTCTCCTTGGCCTCCATCAGCACTGGTCTGCGCTCTCCACCGCTCCCTGCCGAGGGTGCGACACGCGCAGCCGGGCCTTGTCCGACCCTACGGATTCTGTGACTCCCTGTGTCCGCACCCACGGGCCAGTCTCCCTTATAACACTGGGCCGAGCTCTTCATTGGCTCTCCCCGGCGCGGCCCCGCTCGGTTTCTCCTCGTCACGGGCTTGCTCCGAGGCCGGGCTGCTGCCCTCACACAAGCAGCCCCCAGTGGCCCCCACACCTGCAGCGTCTAGACGGCTTCCTCGGCTTGTGCCCTCATGCAAATGGCATGGGGCAGAGCGTGGGGCACCGCACCGGCACCCCCGAGCAGGAGAGTGTGGGCGCAGGGCACGAGGGCAGCAGTTGGGACTAGGTCCTGCGCTCACTTGGTGCCCTCGGCACAGAGACTCCTCATCCCTCCTCTTTATCCTCTCTCTGTTGGTGTCCCCTGTCTTGGGCTCTCAAGTAGACCTGTATCAGACGCTCCGTTGGTACTTGAAAAAGCGCTGATATTTTTGAGCAGGTTTTTGGTTTCGTCTGCTTGCAGGGATGAAGAGGGTGGGTATCATCCCACAGCCCAAATGAGGTCTTCTCCCGCTGCCGCCTCCCTGGCAAGTCCACGTGCCATCCTCTAATAAAATAAGGGACAGTTCCTTTGGTAGGTGGCTTGAATGAGGTAATTTTGGACTGCTTTTGATCAGCTTTCTCTAATTTGGGTGCTCTTGTTTTTAATTTCTATATCTGGAGTTTAGCGCAGCCTCTTTTGCATCTGAGCATAAATAAAACTCCGGGGCCGAGTTTGGGCTGAGCTGGAAACCACCAGCACATGGTGTTGGGGACTCACGCACTTGGCTGGTGCCTTGGGAGGGAGATTTCTCGATTTGAAAGGATGGTTTGTGCCCCGGTACCGGGATGAGGAGCCTGGGCCCCTTCATGTGGCTGCCGATGGGGAGCAGAGCGGCCTGAGGGCTTCAGAGCAGACCACGAACGTGCAGATGGGCCTGATCTGAGTCCAGTGCCCCCAGGGCACTGGGAGTTTAGGGCAGTGTCTTTGTCTTTTAAGCTTGGATGCCTTGTAAGGGTAGAAACACATTTTAGCAGCTCCAGATGGAGGTGGATCAACACTTGCTTCCTTGCTCTGTGGGAAGGAAGGCCAAGAGCTTAAATGAACTGTTCTTACTAAAATGCAGCCGGAAGAGGGGACGTCAGGGGAAGATGGTGATGGATTAGCTAAGCAGTGTTCTCATCTAAAGCAATGAAGGTTGGTTGGCAGAGTATCTTAGAGCCGCGAGATGATGCGAGGACCTTGTGGCTAGGATTGGAGGGAGACTGTGGAATGAGCCTGGGGCTGGAATGAGGTACTGTTTGAAGTGGAAAGGGATTCTGTTCCACCATAGCAGGGAATAACTTGGCGATCTGATTCCGTGTGCCCTTGAATGGGGTTTCACACGCTGCCTTCGTGGGTAGTGCCAATGCTGGTGTGCATGAAACTCGCCGCACGTTTCAGCAGGAGCTATCTCTGCAGCAGATGACGTACCACAGACCACAGCAGTTGCGGGGTTGGGGTTGGTATCTTCTTTTTTTTCGTTTTGTTTTGCCACTTTTCAAGCAGCTGTGATCTGTCAGCTAAGGGCAGGCTGGGTGGCTTGCGGAGAGGAGGGTGCCCCAAAGCTCACTTTCAGTCACAACCAGCTAGTGCTTTCAGGACGTCTGAGATGCTCCAGATTACCTGTCTCTGCCTTAACTGCACATGTTTTGAACACAACTTCTTATGAATCCCTGGGCACTATTTTGTTGAGGGCCTAGATCTTTTCTCAAGGGCAGGAAAGCCATCATCTCCGTTGAAGTGATGCTAGGGCTGGGCGTTTGTCCAGCCCTGCCTGATGCTGCAAATGCCTGGTGTGCTTTTCTTGTCCTGGTGTGCTTAGCTCAGATGGTTTTCTGGTCATCTCCAAAATTGCTGTTACCGGCCAGGTTCTTGCTCCATCCTTGATGTGTGTCTTAAAATGTAGCACCTTTTTCACTCCCAAAGGGGACTCAGACCCATAGTATCTCCAATCTGCCTGTCCAGAAAGAGTTTCCTTCTCCTGACCAAAGGAGCTTGCCTGACTCCCCTCTCGTTTCCCATGGTCTGATTTTGCAGTGTCTTTGAGGAGATATTGATGAACGAGCTTAGGACCTTTTATAGCTTACCAACACTGAATTGTGTCATTTTAAGCTGTTTAATGGCTGCAGAAGTGCAGCAAAGCCTCCCAACAGAGCGCTCCTTTCCTGCCACGCTCTTGTCCCTCGGGAGCTGTTTGCACTGTGCTCCTGCAGGCCCTCAGCTAAGGTGCCATAGGAGGGGTTTCCACAAGGTCCATCTGAGGACGAGATGTGATAGCAAACAAGAAAACCCCCAAGTGGCTCCAGGGCAGCCCTCGGTGAGAGCTCGTTGCCCGCAGCGGCGCGGGGGCTCGCGCCGTGCCCGCAGCGCCGCCGCGCAGCGGAGCAGCGCGTGGGTGACGGCGGCTGCCGTTCGGGCGCCTCTCGCCTGCCCCGATGCAGCTGCTGCCCTAAGTGCCCGCGCTGCGAGATCCTTCCTGGCACCCTTGAGCTGGCAGGGGCACAGATCGGTACGTGAGGGCTGCTATTCTGCGTTGCTGGCATCCGGGAAGCGGTGAGCTTAAATATAGTCTGAGGGGAGATCCTCACCCTCCTTTTCCCTTTTCGGAATTACCACTTGGCAGGCAGAAATATCGGCCACCAGCAGCGACCGCCTGCTTTTCCTTCCTGAGAAGACACCGCAGTGCTTGTTGGTGTGGTCGTACACCAAAAACGCAGCTTTCCGAACCACATAGAGCCCTGCAATTACAGTATCTACGCTAAGTTCTCCTTATTGCTGCGTCCCCATCCGTTTCCCCGTTCTGTCTCAAACCTCAAGAGCTTTGGGACCAGCTAGTCAAATGTGCATTTTGGGGGATGAGGCCACGGGCATTCAACAGATGACCTCATGTCCTGAGGAAAATCCAAGCACGTCACTTCAGTAACTGGGCAAGAGCTGGGCTCGGCTATGAAAATCAGGGTTTAGGTATGAATCAGTAGGACCTATCTGTGAAAGAACCCCAAGTTGCTCTAAGTTTCTCCTCACAGCCATGCAGATAATGGTGGCCAGTGCCCCACCAGAAATCAGAGCTCCTTTAATCTGGGTGTGCAAATCAGGCCTTGTGCAAACTGGCCTCCAACAGGTTGTTGATTTGTTTTGTTTTGGTTGCCCCATAAATCATATGGCTTGAAAAACCCAAGGAGTGTTGTCCAGACCCAGCTGGGTATCCATCAAACACCTTCCTGTTAAGGAATGCTGAAGGATTTGGACAGCTGTGCCCAGCATGTGTCAGGCATTCCTTGATTTCACTAATCCCACCTTGGAGGACAAGTCTCTGTATGGGCTTGTGCAAGACCTTTCTCTTGATGCACTATTCCATTACGCTATAAAATGCTGAGGAGATTTGCAGGCTGTGAATTATGAAGGTTATTACACAACCGCACAGTTCTTGTGCTGCCCTCTTCCTTCCTGCCCACTTCTGCCCCACAGCTGCGCATCCCCTTCCCCTTTCTTTTCCCAGCTGGCCGCTTCGCCTGGCCCTGGGCAGCCCCAGCCCTGGCAGTCTCACCAAGTCCCAAAAGGGCTTTGAATATCTGCTGTCAGAGAGACCAAAAATACCGGTCTTGGGGGGGTCAAACCCATAGATGAACAAGCACCTTGCACATATGGTCACTAGTTAAGTGCTAAGTGCAACGTCGGCCTTTGAGGGCTTGGGCTTTATTTAATTTCATGGCCAAAAAAGACAGTAGTGACTCCAGCCCAGCCTGGGGGGTGGCAAAATTCAGTTAAATGGCCCTGTGGGCAGCGAGCGTGGGCTGCGCAGGCTCCTCACGTGCCTGAACAAGGGGTTTGCTCCCCTTTCTGGCCCGGGGCGCTCCAGACGTGACGTGATGAGACCTCGACCGGGACAGCGCAGGGCATCCAAGCATCTCCGGCCAGGTCCCTGTGCTGTGTCCAAGGGCTCAGGTCGCAAGAGCCCCTGTCCTCCCTCAAAGGGCCACCTAAAGGTATGACACTGGTGAGTAAAATTGGACTTGCTGCTGCTGAACTGCTGCAGCCTTTGGACGCGACCCTGCGGGGCTGAGAACGAGGCTGCCTCCGCCAGCACTGCCGTGGTGGCCGGGGCTTATGTTTGCTGGGCATTTTCCTGGCGTGGGGAAGCGCTGGGAGGTGACTGGAAACGCGCAGCGGAGAAGCGCAGCCCTGGCCCCTTGCGCGGTGCCCTGGTGCGGGAGCCGGCACAAGCAGCAAGGTGAATTACAGCCCTGCTGCAGAAACACGTAAACATCGGGCTGCATGCAAACACCAAAAACCACCCTGTTGCCGCGGGGCTTGTGCTCTGGTTTGATTCTGGGTGCTTTCTGCAGCGGGAGGGTGAGCGCTGCAGGGAGCCGCGGGCGGCCGTGCCGGCGCGGGGGCAGCTGGGGGCAGAGGGGAAGCCGAGCGGGGGGAATCCAGGCGGGCGCCGCCGCTCGCCCCCGTCGCCCGCCGCGCACTCAGCGCGCCCGGGGGCGGCCCACGAGTGAAGTCCGGGCCTGTCACGGGCCGCCTGTCACCTGTGACCGCTCGCGCTCCAATCTGGCTGGGCCGCCGCGCCGGCCTCCCCGGATAAATAGGAGCCTCTCCCCGGCCGGCCCTGCAGAGCGGCCCCGGGCACGCGGCGCAGCCAGGATGGGATCCAGCTGTCCCCTGCTTGCCTGCTGCTGCCTCCTCCTCCTCTTCCTCCTGGCGTCCCTCCCAACCCATGCAGGTGAGCTGCCGGCAGGCTGGTGGTGGGAATTAAACGCTGGATTTGCACAAACTGGCTGCTGATCGGAGGGTTTCTTGCAGGGCAGGGTGCAGAAAGGCTGTTGGTTCTAGCTGTTTCTTGCACTTGCCCTTGAGACCCTTTTAAAAAGAGCATTAGAAAGGGGAAGACTGTCTGCTGCATATATACATGTCCCCGACTGCCTGCGTAAGCCGTCGCCTTCTCTCTTGGGCAGCCATCCTGGAAATGAACGGCAACCTGAGCTGCAGGTGCGTCAAGACGACCTCGGAGTACATCAGCCCCAAGCGGTACGAGAGCCTCGAGATCCGGCCCGTGGGCAGCACCTGCAGGCGCACGGAGATCATGTGAGTGAGCACACGGCTGCGCCCCGCTCCACTGGGGCAGCCACCGCGCTGCCCCGCTGCCCTTTCTTCTTTTATGAACAACAAGCCACTGATTTGGATTCTGGGGAGCAGAAGGGCCATGTTGTCCCTGGTGTCCCTCTTGTGGTGTTTTCAGCCTGTCCAGACCCAGGAAACGCCACCTGCCTCCTACCTCCTTTGGCTCCTCCAAAGTCGTAATCCAGAAATGAGATGCTGACAATGTGGGCAAACCTTTGCAGTAGTGGAAAGGCTCTTTCCTCAGTAGCAGCATTTGCAGTCTGGAGGAAGTGCCTCTTTAGATGCCTTGGTAGGAGGAGTCGTACCCCAGACCCGTATTTTCCCTCCCAGGATAGAGCACTGCCGAGAGCAGGCAGATTTTGGTGCCAGCCCTGGTCTCATTACTGCTGTGTTTACTAAAGCAGTGCGTTAAATGATAGCACATGAAATTACCTGCTTTTGCTTTCTGGCACCTATTTGTTCTCTCCCGTTGGTCCCAATGGACGAGCAATGGATGCAGTGCCCTTACTTGGGTTTTGCCGACATCTCCTCATGTGTAAATCTGCAGAGAAACCTGCTTTTGGGTGGCAGTCCCTGCTGCGCATGGGGATTTGTTGCATCTTGTTTTTAACTCTCTCCCCACTGTCCTGTTGCCTCCCTCTGCACAAGCCTGTTTCTGTGGCTCCCCCCTGCATCCCCCCTAAACCCTAGCAGGGCAGGAGGAAGCTCTTGCTCCCGGATCCGCTCCAGCTGCTCACGTACCTGCCTTGGGAGGGAGAGTAACAGTCGCAACCTCTGCTCCTGTTCCAGAATCAAGTTAAGAACCTCCTCCAAGGTGTGTGTGAATCCTGAGGCGCTTTGGGTGAAGAAGCTCCTCAAGCGGATCGCTGGCACGTGAGTGTCTGCGGGGTGACGTGGAGCATCACCTGGGCCCGGGGAAAGCACGGCGCCTTCGCCGGCTCCGCGCAGGCGCTTCCTCCCCCGCGGCCCCGCCGGCGCCTTCACCCCTTTCCCCTCCTTCTGCTTTCTGCAGGAAGAAAAAGTGAGGTTCCTGCTAAGGAAGCTGCTGTCCAGAGCCTCAAGGCCCAAAACGTCCCCGGAGCCCCAAGGCTGCCCCCCTCCGTGGCCGCTTGGCCCTGCAGCCCTCCCGTGGGTGCGTTTTCCCCAGCACTGGGTGGCAGAGCCGCGTGAGTGCAGACCCCTCCTTTAGTCACCTGGGACATGTCCCCTTGCAAGGGCTCTTCCCGCCTCCACAGGGACTGTTTTCCAAAGCCTTTGGTGCGAAGCACTCGTGGACAGGCCAAGTGTCCTATTTTATTACATTCCACTGTTTGTCAAGCCCTGAAAACTCAAGCTGAATAAAATCTGTATTTCTTTTCCTCTCAGAGTGTTGTTGGGTCTTGCCTAGAACATCGTTTTGACAGAACTCAAAAGAGCGGCAGCCAGGACGTGCTTGGCAGATTTGGGATAAGTGGCCGCGGGCTAAACGGCAAAAGCAAGTACCCCCAAAGCTGGGCCAGAGGGGAGATCTGGCCACAGGATGTGTGTGGATGAGCATGCAACGGGGCTGGTACTCGCTGCACTTTGCGCTGTGCGACCAGGCACGTCGGCAGCCGTGCAGCCCGTGGGAGGTGCCGGCTCTGGGGCTGCAAAATCCCCTTTTCCAAGGAGTCACCGGCAGCCACTTCACTGAGGGCCTCTGCCATTCAGCAGCACTTGCCTGGCACCACCCTGGCCTCACGCAGCCCCAGGGCGGAGGAAGGCAGCGTGTGTATGTACACACACACACACACACACACACACACACACACACACACAATATAAATGTATATGACATGAGTGAGTGGGTGCTTATGGTAGTGTGGAGCAGCAGCCACATAGCGTGGCCTGCGCTGACTCAGGGATAGCACCTGTATTGAAATGAGTAATATCTGTGCCTTCCCCAGAAAAGAAAAAAAAAGAATAAAAAAGTAAAAAAAACTTGAGATTTGGGGGTAGTGCGGGCTAGGAAGAACCATCGGCGGGAAGAGCGGCTGCCTTTACAAGAAGGGGCGGCTCAGGAAGGGCCGAGCAGAAGGGGTTTAGGGAAGCCGAGTGCGGAGCCGCTTTCCACGAGCGCCGCTGCTGGCTCGGCAGCCGCCTCCAGCAGGGAAGGGCGCCGGGCAAAACCCCCCGCGCGGCAGCGCCGGGCTGCAGGAGCCGGGGGAAGCCGCGGCTTCACTTCTCCTATTTCCCTGCTCAAATAGGTGCCAGCGTCTCCGGGAGCCGCCGCTTCCTGCCCCGGGCGTCCCGCGGGACACCATGGCGTGCCGGGCGGCCGTGCTGCTCTGGCTGCTGCTGGGTGCCCAGCGCCCCGCTGACGCAGGTGAGGCTGCCCTCCCTCTTTCCCACCCAGTTTTCCTTTTTTTTCTGACCCTTTTTCCCCTTATTTTCCGGAGAGAGCTAGCGGAGGGGCCCTCTAGAGAGGGGCTGGGGGTGGCGGGTTTGGGGCCTGGGCCGCAGCCCCCCTGTGCCCGCAGGGCTGCTGGAAGCCAACAGCAACCTGAGCTGCCGCTGCGCCAAGACCACGAGCAGCTTCATCGCGCCGCGGCTCTACGAGAGCGTCGAGGTGCGGCCGGCGGGGAGCAGCTGCCGGCGCCAGGAGGTCATGTAGGTGGCAATGTGGCCGTGCTGGCACCTTGGCCTTGTCCTGCCGTTGGACGCTCCGGCTCCATGGCCGCTGCCCCGGCTCCCCTCACGGCGCCGCCGCCCTGGCTTCTTTTCCAGCATCGTGTTAAAAACCCGCAAGCGAGTGTGCGTGCAGCCCAACACCCTGTGGGTGAAGAAGCTCCTGCAGGACCTTCCCAGCGTGTAAGTTGCCCTCCTGGCTCCCCAGCCAGGAATGTCCCCCCTGAGGCCACCACTGGCCCCTGGGGCGGCAGCCCCCTCTTCACCCATTGCCCCTTTCCGCCGTGGGCAGGAGGAAGAAACAGGCTGCGCGCTGAGGAAGCTGCCACGGGAGCCGCAGATGGCCGGAGCAGCAGCCGTCCCTGCGGCCCGGCAGCGCTGCCGCCCGCTCGCGTTGCCCCTCCGTGGTGCTGGCAGCCCCCTGCACACCCAAGCCCCGCGCCCGCCTGCCTCCCCTCCTCACGCCACGTGCCCCGCGGCTCCTGCGCGGTGCGTGAGCTCCCCTCGGCGCTCCCACGGGGCTCTCTATTAAAGTTGACATCACTCATCTACCGGTTGCCATCATCATCTTTGGCTGCCTTCTCCAGATGTGAGGGCTGGGGGGACTCCGGGGAGCAGGTCAGAGATGGCCGTGTTGGAGCGCGAGGTGGGAGTGAGGGCTGTCACAGGTAGACCCTCAAGGGGAGGGCTAGGGTTAGCAAGAGGGGCATTAACAGGCCCACAAAGGTGCTCTCCTGTTGTCCATTTCCACTTGTCTCCCCTCGTGACACAACAGGGCTGCTAGTGACAGCATTGCTCAGAGGAGGGCAGCAATCCTGCTCCTTGTGCGGAGTTATGCGAGTGCCAGAGCCCATGCCTTGGGGCCGTCTTGGTACCACGAGACGGACACCCTTCACGGTGGCACCCAGCACCAGCCCTGCCGCGCGTCCACCCGGCTGCCGTCCCCAGGGTGCATGGGGCCGCCCATCCCGCGGGCCGTGGCTCCGGCAGCCCTGCCCTGCGGGAGCTCGTGGGGTGCCGGGCTCCCACCCTCGCCTCGCCCCGCGTCGTTGCCCAGCCTCCCACGTGTGCGCTGGGAAGCGGCGGGGAGGGAAGCAGAAGGAGGGCCTGGGCAGAAGCAGGGCCCTCTCTGTTTCCTACTGCGAGAATTCCCCCGCGGCGGGGCTATAAAGAGGCCCTGCGTGTTGCTGCCGGCCACGCTCCGGGCGTTTCAGCAGGGATGAGGTTGCCGCCGGCCGCGCTGGCCCTCGCGCTGCTCCTCAGCCACTGGGCACTGGTTACCGGTGAGTAGCTTTTAATGGAGAGTTTCCTGTTGTCCCTTTTGTCCTTCAGGCTTTTCTTTCTCCTCCCGTTTGCCTTTGGAGCTCCCTGCCGTGTTGCTTTTCCCTAACTGTTTTCTGCTGGTTTTGCTGCTGGGGACCCCGGCGTCCCCGCGCCGTGGGCCGGTGCCAGTGGGCCCTGTGGGCTGCTCTGGGCGCAGGTGTGTCGCTGGAGAGCCTGCTCACCAACAAGCGCTGCAAGTGCGTCAAATCCACCTCCCAGGTGGTCCCCTTGGGCATGGTCCTGGCCATCGATGTCCTCGCGCCCGGGATTTACTGCCGCAGGAAGGAGATCATGTGAGTGGCGGGCCCCATTTCTGCAGAAGCACCGGGAGGGAACCCCGGCTCTTCAGCCCCAGGGGACAGAAGAAACCCCTGGCAAGGGCCTCACTGCGTCCCCTTGCCTTTCAGCCTCTCCCTGAAGAGGAATAAGAAGGTGTGTGTGGCCCCCGAGGCGCCCTGGATCCAGGTGCTCCTGCACAGGCTCACGCAGAGGTAGGCACGGCGCCCCACCAGCCGCCCCCGAGCGTGCCCCACGCCAGCCCTGTCCTCACGTTTTCCTCTCCTTCCTGACCTCCCAACCTGCAGGAACGCCAGCAAAAAAGCAGTGGCGCCAGTTCCGCGCCAGGCAGCGGAGCAGCAGTGTGCGGCCCCATAGCTGCCCAGGTCCCCGTGGGGCTGCCCGCCTCCCCCGGGGGTTTATTCACCATCGGGACAGCGCAGTGGCACCAGGCTCGGCAGTGCAAACCCGCAGCTCGCTCCGCTCCTGGCATTGCTCCCCGCAGCCTCAATAAAAGGATGAAACCGCAGCCCTGCCCTCCGCTCGCCCGGCCCCACGTGGTCGCTCTGCTTTCTCAGTGGGAGCCCTGGGCACGCAGGTGCCCGGGGCTCCTCACACAGCAGCAGGGCCCCAGGTGATCCAGGTGCCGGGGGACTTGCCCAAGCGCAGGACGTCCCGGGGGGCTGGACGCGCAGCCCCCGTCCTGCCCCCTGCCCTGGGCTGGTTCCCCCCTCGCCATCTCCTTGGGCTGCGTGGGGAGCTCGAGGGGACCTTGTGGGGGCTGTGCCTAGGCCTCTTCCTGCCCGCGGGAGGAGAGAGCAGCGCCCGGGCGCCAGGACAGCGGCAGCCGCGGAGCCCTGGGTGTCAAGGGCGTGCGGGACCTGCAGCGCGGCCGGGGGAAGGGGGCGGGGGAAGGAGATCAAAAACTGAAAGAGGGAAGAAAACAGTATTAGTTCAGGGACTTGGACATTTCCCTCTCAGGGCTGCTGTGAGGGTAGGAAAAGGCAGGACTGTTCCGTTCAGTGTGGGGAGGCGAGAGTGCCCTCGAGTGGCCCTCCCACTGTCCCCCTTGGGAAGCAGCACTGGCCTCCAGGGGGGACAGGGCAAAACCCAAGCAGGCAGCAGTGGCAGTGGGAGGGCAGGGCGTGACGTGCACTGGACTTAAAAACAAGGGCGCCAAAGCCCCAAGTAAGGCAGTGGGTTGTGTGGAGTGAGAGGTGCCGTGTGTGGGTTATTTGTCGTGCAGCAAAGGCAGCTGCAGCCAGATGTGCATGCGGCATGGGCCGACGTGGTGGGAGGCGGCAGTCAGGTCCGTAGGGAGGACCAGACCAAGCACCAGGGTCCCTTAAGGCCTCGCCGTGCAGTAGAGGGGAGATGAGAGCCGAGCGAGCCGCTGCCCCCTGCTGTGGGGGGAAAGGGCCCCGGCTTGGGCCGCGCTGCCCTCCACGGTGCCGCCAACCCCGTGCCCAGCTGCGCGCGCGTCGCTCCCGCTGCTTTTCAGCCCTTCTCTGAGACACTGTGTCCCTCTACTCCTTCATCCTCCAATAAAGCCGAATCCAGGAGACCTGTTGTGTTTCATTATTTGCTATAGAGTGAAATCACTTTTCTTCTGATGAGCAAGCTGGGGTGAAGGCTGCGCCTCTCCGGGGCCTATCTCCCTGGCTCTGCTTTTTGCCTCGGGCCTCATTTTCTGCAGGTAAAGCTCAGTCGTGGCTACCGTGGGCGCCAAGAGCGGCCACCCGATACGATGCCCGCTCGGATTTAGCTGTGCCTGGATCCACTCGGATCCGTCACGGAAGCAGAGACTCAAAAATCCAACTGTGAGGGAGGAGGAGAGGACGTTTCTCCCGCCGAGCTCTTGGGGTCCTCTCAGAGGGCCAGGCTGAGCTCCCGGAACGACACGCTTAGGCCGATGGCCTCCCGGTGTAGCAGGAAGAGGGACCTTCCGGGAAAAAACAAAAAGTTTGTGTTGTAAGTTGTGCCTGGACTCTTCATAAGAATACCTGGGGAAATGAAGTGTTTCGCTCAGTGAATGCTAAACACCCGTGGGAAAAGTTGGCCTCATGGCCACAGGAAGAAAAGCTGCTCTGAGACCCTGTTGTGCTGTACGCGATGCAGACATGTTCACCCCAAAATATTAAAATGACCAAACAAGGATATCCAGCCATGTTGTAAAAAACTTTTATAGATATATATGTATATATATGTTTAGATATATGAAGAGACACACAGATGCCCAGATATAACAGATTTACCACAGCAGGTTTCAGGCAGCTGCTCCTCGAAGGTTTCTTGTCTTTGCTGGTGGCGGTGTGGAGGTGGCGCCGGGACGGAGCTTGGGAATCCAGGCCGGGCGCGGGGCTCGGAGCAGCCATGGGAGCCACCGGCATCCGATGCCGAGCCGGGCATGAGGGGCAGCTCCTCGGAGCGGGGATGAACACGCCACCCCCAACTGCTCCTTCCCTGCATGCAAGGGACATGGAGAGGGGAAGAGGGGGAGCCTGACATGCAAAAGGTAAGATTTAAAAAAAAAAGCATTTTTTTTTGCACAGTACTTGTTAAAATCATGTTTTAAAAAGCTCAGTGTGTGCTATGGGGCAGAGGAACCCCCCCCCGCAGAGCTCCCGTGGGGCGCACAGCCGTGTCAGGTCTCAGCTGCCCCCGTGCCCGCCGGCTCCGCTCTCCCCCTCCGCCTCCCTGCACTACAACAGGTCGCTCTTGGTTTGGGCTGTTATTAACAAACGGGCTCCTCGGCAGCTCGTACACAGTCACGGCAGAGCTTGGAACTCCATTGTACACAAACAGCTTCAAAAACCGTCGGGAGTGAAGTCCGGTAGGCAGTATTGCTCGCGCTGAGGGCGCCCCTCCGGGACGGATCCCGCGGCTGGTTACGGAAAGGCAATGTCCACAAAATTAAGTTTTTCCTGCTATTCTACTTTCCTATTGCGTTGCGTGCGCGGCGCCTGTGTGAGGTGTGTTCAGTGAGACCCGCACCCAGGGGAAACCTCCGTCCTTGGGAAGGGCTTTTGGGAGCGGGTCCTGCCCATGGGTTTCCCCATCGCTCCCAGTTGCCACCAGACAACAGGTGACGCCTCCGTTTTTAGGCACTTCTTTTGCAAGGGAGTTGTCGCTACGTTGAACCAATTTTGACCATTTATTCTCCCCCCGTTTTCCCCAGCCCCCCAACAAAAGTCAGGGACTATTTTCTCCCCTAGGTCCAATTGTGTTTTTTCCTATAGACAGTTTCCTATGTATAAAATGACCAAGGAAATGTCTAGCAAAAGAGCGGAGGAGCGGCCTGGATTGTCCTTTTTGCAAGGCAGCAGATGGCTCCTTAGAAATTCAAACTAATTGCACAATTTAAATTTGACTTTTTTTTTTTTTTTAAGTGTACGACTGAGACATAAATATAGGCCATCGATCTGTTTAAAAATTTCATTCACATAATGGAAAATTTTTTCATTTATTAAAAATATCACATTTTGAGACTAGAAACAGTAAAGTGCATGAAAAGTTTAAAATATAAATTCAAGAAAATCTTATAGCAGCAAAAAAGCAGAATAAAGAAAAACTTAAAAACACAGACACAACCTTTTCCTATTACTGTGCCTTTTTTTTTAACATCAAGCAGCCAACCAATTTTTTTTTTTTTCAGAAAATTGCATTATGTTTAATGCCTCTTGAGGCACAAGGTTTTGAACTGGCCACCTTGAGCATAAAAAGAAGAAGAAGGGGGGGGAAAAAAACCCCACTTCCAACACATCTAAAGAGCGTTAACAGTTGGGAATGAACCAGCAGCCTTTTAATTCAACCCTGACCGACAACAGAAAGGAAGAGTATTAAAAACTGAGGATGGCTATTTGGCAACTAGGGTCAGGAAAAATAATCCAAGGAATGATTACGGCTCCCCCCCCCCCTCCCCCTGTGGAAAAAGCTCTCAGGCAGCTGCTCCCCATGCGCTTGGGGGACGGAAGTGCCATTGTTTCCAGCGGCTTTTCCCTGTGTCCCCAGCGGGACCGGCTGGTCCGGAGCTTCCCACCTTTGCGACTGACCTGGAGCAAAGGACCCGGGGCTTTATTTTCTCTTGTCCCCGACCTCAAACGCTGGCAACTCTCCAGGCGCCGGTGCTTGTCCTTTGGAAAGGCGGCTCCCGGACAGGGCCACCTTGGCTGGACAGAGCCCGGCCGGGCGCCCGGCGTCTCGCCCAGAAGGGACCCGGTTCTTCAGAGCTCCGAATTCCTGGTACCTCTGCAGCTGCCCCGCAAGGAGCCTGCAGGGCAGGAAATGCTCAAGTGCAACCTCCTGCTTGCTGTACGGTCACTGGGAATGAAATTACGGCGGGAGAATTTAGGTGTCGCTGTGGCCTCTAAAGCCATCTTTGGTTTTCTGCTGTTAGCTGCGCAACGGGCAGGGCCACACTGCTAATAATTTATAGTCAAATATTAAGTGCTTTGCTGATGTGCAAAATTTATTTTGGATGCAGAGTTCAGTCTCCAGTTTGGATTCAGACAAACAGCATTTCTAATATACTTCCTACCAGACAAACCACTTCTACTTTTGTTTTTGTTTCTCCTAAAAGGATGGCTCATTTTGCCATGTTCTGGAAAAAAAAAAATCATCTTTAAATATGCTATTATGCAAGTCTTTAATCTCATTTGTCGACTTTTAAGTGCAGCTTCCTACTGAAAAGAAAAAGCTCGCCAGTTTTTTAAAAAAAATAATTAAATTAAAAACCTGGAAAGGGAATAATACTTTGGTTCCAGCCCTAGTGCCAAATGATACCAATATGCACCAAAAATGTGCAAAAATCTCATATGAAACACATAAGGAGAGGAGCTTGAAGAAGCAGCTTAAGGTTGGCCATACTTCACTCCTATATACTTTGATTTACAACTGTACAGGTCCGTGTGAACAGGTCCGTGCCCGCGGCGGGGCAGGGCGGCACTACCTCCTGCCGGGCAAGTGCACGCCGTTGACAAGAGGCAGGAGCGGAGGATGGAGCTCGAGCTGGGTTAACAGTGAGAAGTGGTCGGAAGGGATGTGAGGGTGGGGACACCCAGTGATGTTGTTCTCAACCAGCCACTGAGGGTCCAAAGGCCCCAGGACACCAAGCACGTTCATGTGAGTGTTGGAATAGAAAATGTAGTCAATCACACCCTGGGGAGAAAGAGAAAGACGACAGTGAGAAGGGACGCGGGGCCGGCCGCGCGAGCTCCACT